ACCAGATGGCAAAATCCGAATGCTGATGTTAAATTAGCCAAAAATCATGGAAAATCAATTAAGGGTATGGGAGTTGCATATAGTAGAAATATTAGAGTGGTTTCATTTCTACTTTAGGAAATATAAAAACGTTTAAGGGTAACTGCCTTCCAACAACTGGCCGCAGACAGTGAAATGCAGTAGGAGTTGAGATGTTGTAGTTGTAAATGAGAAACACACACAATATTAAAATCGATACAAAATTAAAATCATTTTTAATTCAAGCCAATCTATAGCCACTCAAATGTGCATTCTACATATTTCAACGTTTACCATGTGATCTTCAGGAGCGAACGTGCAAAACATAAGTGCCATATTTACTCATTCTTACACCACAGTTTACCATTCATCTCTAAAGTCCTCTGGTGGTACAGCGGTAAGTCTTCGGATTTGCAACACTAAAATCAGCGGTTCGATTCCCCTTAGTAGACACAAGTAGATATCCAGATTTGGCTTTGCTATAAGAAAACACTTCCCTGAAATCAGTTCAAAAATAATTCACACTTTGAGAAAATTTGCCATTATACAAAATTCCTGTCGACTTCAAATAAACTAAGGTCATTACTAAACAAAAGTTATATATAATCACACAGTAACAACGTCAGTTATGCAACAACTGTCCAAAATTCTACATCGGAAAATTATAAACCAGATTCACCAACGTTATAATAAAACCCTCCCATGTTTATCACCACTGCAACTAAAAAAAAAACACAGTAAATCTATACAAAACACTGTAATTTTAAACAAAGAACCGAAAAATCAACAAAATAAAAGAAGCTATCTTAGTTGAACAAAACAGCCTTACTCTAAACAAACACCCCGGAGTACAAACATACCTTTACTAAGCTGTTAAGCAATCTCTCGTCATGTGACCTCTTTGTTCCATGCTGTATATAATTCCTGTGTAAATGTAAACTGCTTGTACCTGATGATGACATAAGCTTGTTGCACATTGGTAATAGTTTCTTTCACTACCTAATCAAGCCGTATTCAAACTCTTTTTCTAAAAAGTGGGTTTCTCGTCATCAAGTAAGAGCTTAGGAGAGGAAATAATTATTTCCTGAAAATATAGGGTGGGTTTAAATTTTGACTTTTATTTTTTGGGGGTGTGAAAGGGCAGCTTTGAAGGACCAAATCGTCCTTTTTTGTTCGTGTGTTTTGTTATCTTTCGAATTAAGCATTAAAATTAGTTTTATATCTACGTTGTTGGTTTTAGCAGGACCTTAGGCGTGTGTGGACTAAATGACCACATCAAAGGCCCTTAGGGTTCAAGTATAAACATCGCTAATATTGAAAAACTGACCAGAGGAAAAACAGCCAGTCAACTGCACCCGACTTCTGGCTCTTTGAACTGATAATAGGACTTACTGAAACTTCTGTAATGCCCCCAAGCGCAGAATGTATTCAGCGACATCATGTCTCGAAAATAAGACCCCTCAATCTGCAGGATGGCGCCTTAGCCCTTATACCACACCCGGCCCACATTTCTTAACGTTTACTTTCTCAGTACCACAATAAGAACATAACAATCCCCATTTACGAACACAGCACAACGAATCAACATCCAATTAACGTCAGCAACTTTAAAATATTATGCAATGAGAACAATATCAATAGTAGAAAAATAAGAGAAGCATTAACTATTCATAGGCCAAAACCTAATTTAAATCAAGACAAAGGTGTCACCCTATATCATCAGTATATGTTTTTTAAATGGGAACAAAATACTCGCGCAATATTTCATAAAATAGACGACATCTACCAGATGTTGACCACACGATTGGTCGAAAAGTTGTAATAAAGTTAAATAAAAAAATAAATAACCCTGTACGTCTAGACATTTATTTAAAGTTCCCCTCCTCATAAGTTTGACCATGTTAGAGGTCTATTTTGGTTCTGAAAACGAAATTTCTTACACGCCGTTAGGAATGACTATGGTGCTAAAGCCACTTCCACTTTTTTTTAATCTTACTGGTTGGATATCTTGAACGACCCATGTTTGACCCATGAGGTGGTTAATTATTTGAAAGTGATTTAAAAGCTTCTGGTAACCTTTTTGATACTTAATAAACCCACAGATTCCTATCGGTAATTAGGATAGTAATAATGTATAGCACATCAAATCACATATTCTCGTTACTTAAATCCAAGTCCCTCGATGGGTCAGTGGTAAGTTTACGGATTTACAATGCAAAAGAAATTCGGGATTCGATTGCTCGCAGTTTGAAAATAGCCCACTGTGTATTTTTCTACTAAAAAAAAACACTCACATCTTAAATTCAAAACTTGTAAATTTCGGATTTCAAATATTGAAAGACGGAACCAGCTTTCACTAGAAAACAAAAACACTTCCTATCAATTGTTGTTAACTTGGTGAGATTATGGAGAAAAATGTTTAATATTGATAACTGACATTTTTTGAAACACTTTCCAACTCAGATAATAGTAGCCACTTGCGGCCCAAGAATTCATTTTAGGTTACTTACACACAAAAATAAAAAATGCTTTACAAATATCAACGTAAAACTCAGACCTTGAAGTCCATTGTTTCAGAAAGGCTCTGTAAAACAAGATAAACAAATTCTAGGACTTTCTTGAATGTGCTTTTTATGAAATTATGAATCATACTGTACCCATGAAAAGATTTGTTTTAGTGATGAGCTAAATGATTTTCTTTTACTAATAATCTATATTTAATAATAAACTTGCATAAAAATAGTGTGAGAATCCCTGCTGTGGATCTTATTCATATAAACTGAAATTTTCATAATGGTTCAATGAAATCCTTTGGTTCGTCAAAAAAGAAGAAACTAGCTAGAGCTGTGTCTTTTCGGAAAAAAACACTTGTATATTTAAGAGTACAGAAGTTCCAGCGCGGTCTCCCCCCCCCCCTCCTCTCCCAATTACTCATGACGCTTAAATTTGAGATTTGGTTCCTGTGATGAGCACAACACAGTTAGCTCATTGTGCAGCCTTGCATTTAAATAAAAAATAAATAATCTTGCTATGTAAATACCATTAATAAAAAACAAGTCATTTGGGCATATGAGTCATGTAAGACAGTATTCTCCAAATAAAGAATCAACAAAGGAAATATTAACTCAATACGTAATTCTTTACACCCATTTTTAAAGATTTTATCCCAGGAGAGGATAGAACTCAGAGCTTCTAGTATAATGAGCTTAATCACACTTTATAAAAATGAAGTTCCAACATTTGTGCTGTCCTTGGAACTTCTTACTCCATCGTTGATGATGTTCAGTCTTATGACAACAATTTTGTCCAGAACAGCAATTTCCATTGTACAGAGCTTAAACCACACGTATTGAGTAACTTTCCACAGATCCTCCACTCTACGTAGACGTCGTCTTCCAAGACCGCATTTAACCAGACCAAAGGCATAAAAGCCTATCAGAGCTGCAACAGGAGATTTAAGCATGTGGTCGAATAGGATTCTTAGGTTCCGTTGTCTGTGGCCATCTTTCTTATTTCGAGGTGTAGCTGGATGCTTATAACCTTCTGTTTTCTTATCCTTCGTAAGCTTCAAATCTTTACTTATTATCTTGTTTGTGATACTAGGATAAATGTTTGGAGTCATTACAATGATATTATTTGAATTTGAAGATACTCATTCGTAGCCAGAGCCTCCATTATTTGTTGACGAGGCCCTTACTTCAGCTTGGCTTGAGGTTTTATGTCATTTATATCCTAAATGCTCTGATATCAGAAACTATCCGCCTCCATTGAAAACACTGGATACCCCCATCGAAATCTTTTGTCCTTTGATACGTTGTTTAACAAGCTCGTTATATGAATATTCTTCCTTAAAAAACTGTGATTGCACTTTCAAAGGGCCAGGACCTCGTAGTGAACAGAATAATTAAGCGTTAAACACGGCTCGCAACTGTGGCGACAAGCCACTGTATTAGCATAAACTAATGGCTCATATAAAACGTAATTAACTCTAACCTTCTGCAGAAGATAGAAGGTTGAGTTGAAGCAATGAAAGAATCCGGTGTCAGCCTTTCTCTCTAATGTAGAGGTCAATAATCTCACTGGAAGCAGCAGTGCTAGATCGTGGGCAGAAGCAACATCCATTGAAGGTAAAATGCTAATCTTATATTTTTTGTGCAGTCTGGTGGTTTGGTACGATATACTGTATGGAATTATTGTAACAAGCAAAAAATTGCAAACAGCGAACATTGATCTATTTCAAGCAGTTGTGCATGTGGACACAGTAATAATCTATCTCCGGAATTGTCGGACAGACAAAGGCTTTACATGGGCACTAAAAATGTGAGGGAGTTGAGAATGGAACTGAATATTTACGCCTGCTTTCCACCTGAACTACAAGTTCAATCTCATCAAGAAAAGAAACAGTTCGATTACCAGGCAGAAGACAGGCCTATCAATGATCCAGAACAGAAATTCAAAGTCAACATTTTAATCAAGTGGAAGAACGTTTTATACAGCTTCAAAAACCTAGCAATGTGTTCAGAATTCTCTACAACATCCCTGGCTGAAATGGGAATAGACGATATAATTCACCAATGTAACGTTCTTGAAATGGTTTTCACACACAGTGATTTATAATACGTTGATACTCTTACTGTGCGACGAGCTAAATGATCTGTCCAGAAGAATAAATTTAGGATCAAAACCTAAATATGTGTTGGAACACATTTGCAAGAACAATGTGTCGTCTGTGTTTCCAAGCGCATTTATTTCTCTCAGAATACTGCTGGCACTGCCTGTCACAGCTGCGAGTGTGGAGCACAGTTTCTCAAAATTGAAATCAATCAAAAATTATTTGCGGTCAAAAATGACGCAGGATCGACGAATGGACTGGTGAACATATCAACTAAACATGAACTTGCCCAAATCCTGGATCAGAAGAAAGCCCTGTATGCCTTTTCAGCAATAAGGAGCAGACGAGCCATATTTTCATAAACGGTAAGATAAATTATTTTAGTAGAAAAATATATTATCATCAATGGTTTGGGTACATTTATTATATTACTAACGCGTGGTTTTATGGTCAAACTAATTGTTTTAGAATTGTGTGTAAATAAATCATGGGGTGGGGGCGTAATACTTGTATTTTTCCAGTTCGGGGGGGGGCACATACTTTTCCTAGAGCGGTTGAAATTATGAAGATGACACTGCTTCTGCCTCTAATTTTCATGTCCTGAAGACTAAAGGCAGAAAGTTTCTGGAACGTTGCCCAGTCTACTTATACTGTTTTTGAGATATTTAGTTCTCCAAGGTTATCTCTACAACTGTCATCCAGAACCAGGTAATTATCCCCCATTTCATCTTTGTGCGATTCCTCATAAATACCATCTATAAACCATCTATAAAAGCACAGACATTTGTGTCGTCGTGAGTCACGATCAGTGCGTGACCTGATGTCTCGGACTTCTTCCGAAGTTTTAGAACAATTTGAGCACTATATAACGGTTTAAGTGATAAGTATTATTGGTTAGCCAGTTAGTCAGTAAATTATTGGACGAATGTTAGTTAGCTAGTAAATAAGCACGTGACTTCTAAAATTACAGAAGCAGATATTTACGTCACATTTTTTAATTTAGAACTGTGTTTGTGACACAGTAACAGAGATACTAAAACACCATACCTATGAGAAAATTACAACATAAGTGGAATTATTGAATTGAACCAATCTCTATGGGAACATTTATATTAGTTATGTAATACCATGGGCTAATGGATCTTTAAATTCAAGTCATACAATGCTTTCATTATTAAAAAGTGGACTTTACATTAGTTTCTTTTTCCAAATAAACCAAAACAGCCTGCCCAACAATGGAAGCCTTTAAAACATTATTATAGTGCTCATGTGACATGCAGATACATCTACGGTTTTTACCTGCTTTGGTGATATAGAAATTTGAAAATGTTCGTGTATTTAGTTTCTCTGCAGTTTTAATATAAACATTTGGCCCAGGCAATCGTTGAGATTGCCTTGTTATAATTTATTTGTTTCTTTGCCTGTTATAGTAGATAATATCCATTTTGCTCGAGAGGATATCGCAGCAACATGTAATGTCCGGGTTGAAAGGATTAGCTTTGTAATATTCTTTGCTGGCCAAGTTGATGTTTTCTAAATGTAACAGTTGACCAATGCTGTGAAAGAATAAAGGTGACAATGAAAGCGAGTTTACTTGTTGAATTCAGATGCACTTTCTTTAACAATCGTCTTTTAGTTCCACAGAGATTAATCCTGGGTGGAAATGAAAGCTGTTCAATTAAACACACTTCAGTAGAATTGACTGTGATTTTGTCTGCTCATGTACAAACACTGTGTTTTCCATTTGTTTGTCGTAATAAAGATTTTGTTCATTTATTCACATTTGTACAGTCTCATTTTATGTTTAAGAAGATAATAAGTTGTTTTCTAGTCGATAAAGAGAAACTGTCAGTGTGCTTACGTTTTTGGATTGTGTTAGTTATCGTACATATTGAGTTGCTTTTTGCAAATAAATTGATTTTTATGTTATCTGTGTGATCTATGTGCAGATAGTGTGGATATAAATGTTGGGCTACAAGAATTTACAAAACGTACAAGCCTCTAAAGAAACATTAAGGAGAAAATAAAACGATTTTTTTTATTGTTACTTGGATTGAAAATTGAATTCTTTTCACCAGATATTTAAAAGAACCCGCCAATGAAATAACAAAGTCACAAAGTAGTGTCAACAGCCAGGCTTATTTTGGTGAAAATAAAATACAGCTTTAACAGTTGAAGATGGCGAGCACGTAATCAAGTAGCGAGATTCAAGCGTTAATATAGATGGTGAAGATATGAAAACAATACCAAGAAAAAAGAGACAGGAAATTCAAAGATGAACAGAAAAAACAAGATAAAAAAAAGAAAAACAGAGAGGTTAAAAGAAAGACGTGCTGTTTAAAAAAAAAAGCACTAAAAATAAAACTAAATCTGTTTAGAGACTAGATCGATGAAACCATCAGAGATGTACAGAGAGATTACAGTAACAAGATTGAAGAAAATGGAGAGGTGTAATGACAAAATTGATGAAGTACATAAACACATAATCGAAGTGGAAAACGAATTATAAAATGCAAAAATCAAACCAGACATACCTCTTTCTGCATTAGTTTGGAAGTTCCATCCAGGAATACCATTTCATACAAAATATGTAATAGAAGAACTTACTTGGTTAACACCTGTCACCATGAATACTGTGTTACTTGCTATTAAACGACCTTCTTGGACTACTCCAACCATTGCAGTAAACTTGTGGACTGGTTTCTTTAAATAAAGAATCTTTAATTTCATTTGAAGCAGATGGTGATATTTCCAGCTGCATTTTGGTCTACGAGGCCATCTAATTCCCTTTTCTCAATGTCTAGTTAGCCCTTTGTTGTTCTTCTAATCTCTTGGGGCTTAAAGACTCATCCTTGGGGTATTATCTTCTTGGTTTCTTAGCAACCATTAATTCCATCCTCGTACCACCGTCCATGACTTGCACACCATTTTCTTCGACTAACATTCTTATAATACTTTTATATTTACACACCTCATTTGCATTAGATCTAAATAATAGTGGCACCTGGTGCTGTATATTACAACTAATGCAAACAAAACAAAAGAAAAATAATAATAATACAATGGTAACAACATCACTTATAGCTTCAACTACACACCTCATTTGCATTAGATCTGAATAATAGTTGCACCTAATGCTACATATTAAAACGAATGCAAACAAAACAAAAGGGTTTTTCTTTTGTTTTGTTTGCATTAGTTTGAATATATAGCACTAGGTGCAACTATTGTTCAGATCTAATGCAAGTGAGGTGAGTAGTTGAAGCTATAAGTGATGTTGTTACCATTGTATTATTATTTTCCTTTTGTTTTGTTTGCATTCGTTTTAATATGTAGCATTAGGTGCAACTATTATTCAGATCTAATGCAAATGAGGTGTGTAGTTGAAGCTATAAGTGATGTTGTTACCATTGTATTATTATTTTTAATAATACAATGGTAACGACATCACTTATAGCTTCATCAATCTTGTATTCAATCAAATTTATTTTTGATTTTAATTCTTCTTTAAACATTACACCTATTTCTTTTAACTCTTCCTTTAAATTCTTATCGTGTTCTTCTTGATCATCTTTCAGTTTTCTATAAATTCCTTCTTGATCATCTTTCACTTTTTTTATCTCTTTCTTCTAATTTTTTGTCCTGATCTTTTTTTAATTTTCTGTCTCGTTCCTCCTGATCTTGTATTGATAATATCATCATCTCAATTAACTTTGGAATCTCGCTACTTGACATTATGGTCATCATCTTCGACATTTTTTGTTTCAGATATGTTCAGAGGCCTATATAATTTCCACCAAAATACTCACTTCTGACATTAAATGTTGTAGCATAGATCTTTCATTAGTGTGTTTCGTTAAATTAGGCATTTCGTTAAATGTCCGGGTGGCTAAAGTGCTCTACTCGCAATCTGAGGGTCGCGTGTTCGAATTCCCGTGCCACTAAACATTCTCGTCCTTTCAGCCATGGGGGGCGTTATAATGTGATGGAAGGGGCACCACAGAGTTTTTTCCAGAGCCGGATTTACCATGGTGCAGCTAAACTAGTGCCCCACAAAAAGGGGGCCCCCACAATAAATGAAAAATATATATATATATACATATACAACAATAATATTAATAATAATAATGAAATAATACTATTAACATTATTATAGTATTGAAGAGGTTAATGATATATTTTAAACTTGGGAATACAACAAAATTGGAATCTGGCAACTGCCAAACGGAGCAACCTCAATGGCTCGCTCTGCCGTAAGTTAGTGACAGTTGTGCGGTCTGTGATGGTCTGTGTCTTGATATAGCTATTGAGTGTTGTAAACTATTGAGTGCTGTAATCTGCAGTTTACATTGCTTAGGCAAAACAGTCATGATGTAACACTGATCGTCATAAACACCTCAAAAATTCGAAATATATATGCATTATTACCATTCTTATATGTATGTCATTTTGTTCGTTTACAGTGTTTTGGTTAGCATTGAGCCAAGAGATTGGTCTATTTTAACGTGTGGTATGACCTGAAGTAACAAGTAAGTTCCTGAATTTCTTATTAAATGAATTACTTTATATTAACAAAATGAAGGGGTAGATATTTTAACTGTATAAACATACTAAATAAAAGGGCTGTGAAAACTAGTTAAATAGAACGTGGTACAAATGTGAGTCAGCCTAGGCCTAGCTGTTTCAATAAATTAGATTAAACCAAAATGGTCTAATTTAAGTTATTTTATAAATTATCAGGTGTTGTAATACATGTTATTAAATGAAAATATAGGTACCTTAGCCTATGCTATATTGTTCTTAAAACAGGTACAGGTGGCTAAGATTTAGTGAATTTCCAAAGTTAATTCATTGAGTTCCAAATTATCCATATACCTAGAGTTCAAACTTCAGTATGTTTGACGGTCTTACTGACGTTTTTTTTTTTTGCATGAATCTCAGTGTTTTTCTAATCATTATAAACATATATGATCCCTATTCTTTTGTGTGTTTTTTATTTTTACATCTGTCTTTTTTAGACCCCAAAATGAAACGTGTTCAATTAAATGGTGCACAAAAGAGAAAACTGGCCAAAAAGAACCAACAAAAGGCTTTGGATTTAATGGCCAAGACTGGAAAGCTGACTAAATTTTTCACACAAGTTACACAACATGATCTTCCGGATCAAATCCAATCTTCGTTATCAGAAGTGGACAATACTACGGTTAGTACTATCACTTTGTTTACTTCAAGGTCAGAATATCATGATGTCGTTGAGGTCAATGAAGTATCACAGGCTGGTTCATCTAGCACATGTCTCACTACTGATCTCACTTTGTCTGTGAATTCTCTTGATATCTGTACTGCAAATGTGGATGAAAGTTGCTTATCAAGACAGTCTGAAGTTGAAATAATTGCTGAAAATGAAAGTCTACTGGATCATGGTGAAATTATTCAGTCTACAAAGGATGAAGTAAATAAAGCAAAAGAACCAGGGCTGTGGCTCGATTTCTATGTTGATGATGTGGCTTATTGGATTGCTTGTGGACCCAGTGACTGTCAACACCACAATGGGCCATTTGACAAATCTTAACAGATTTTCAGTAGTGGCAAACCAGCAAGATACTGTTCAAAAAACTTTTCATTGGGGTAAAAACCAGTGGTGAGCAATACAAGAGAGAGTGGTTATTGTATTCACCATCAACAGGGTCAGTTTACTGTTTTGTTTGTTAACGTTTTGCTCCTAAATGTTCCTCGCATTTTGTTAAAAGAGAAAGGTTCAGTGACTGGCGAAATACTATTGTAATTGATCATCATGAAAGAAGTACTACTCAGCGAGACTCTATGGTAACATACTTAACTCGAAGACAAGGTTTGGGCTTGGAACAATAGTTGGAAAAAGAACAGATGAAAGATTTGGGTCATTACAGAATGAGAATTTTTTTAGGGCTGCTTGAGCTCATAAGTCAGTTTGATCCATTTTTAACAGGGCACATTTCAAAATATGGGATTTCTGGAAAAGGAAATTCTTCTTACATGTCCAAAATCGCCTGTGAGGAACTCATTGAACTAATGGCTCAAAAGGTCCAGGCGCTCATTGTTGACGAAGTAAATTCTTCTGGTTATTTTAGCTTGTCAGTTGACTCGACACCAGATCTATCACATATAGATCAGTTAAGTGTTTTACTTCGACACTTAAAAGAAGGGCAGCCTATTGAACGCTTTTTAACCTTTCTGGAATTTTAACCTTTCTCTGCTGAGCTTCAGCAATTTTACTCATACGTGTGTCACAAGTTCAGTGCAAGAAAAATAGTAAAAACCAGATTCATTCATGCTGAACTTTAAAAAATTATTGTAGAAGACCATATTGAGTGTGCGTTTCCAAATGTAGAGATTGGTTTGCGTATATTTTTAACATTAATGGTCACAAATAGCACAGCTGAGCGTTCATTTTCTCAGTTGAAGCATATTAAAAATCCCAACAGAACAACTATGCGACAAGACAGATTGGATGCCTCGTCTCTGCTGAGTATAGAAGTAGATTTGTTACGCCAGATTAGTTTGAGGACTTGATCAAAGACTTTGCAATTAAAAAAAGTTGGAGAAAACTTTTAAAGTATAAATAAAGTTATAAGTAGGCAACAATCAGCATTATTTTGCATCTTTTGATCCATGTATGTTGAAATACTGTGTATCTTCAAGGTTAAAAGGCAATGGAATAAAAGATGTTTTGTTCGTACAAATAATGATATTTCTTCATTAGAATTTCTTTTTTCAAAAGTTGATCACCAACATCGATTTATGTAGAAAGAATCGTTTTCAATAATTTTTTGTATTTTTCCCTTATAACAGTTGTTTCTTTTTAATGACGATAATACATAGTTCTGACGATTAACGAGATGTTAGAATGAAAGAGAATCCGACGATCGATAATCTAAAAAAATTACATACTGTTTTTACACATGGTGGTTTTTACTTAGTGTCCAATTATGACCCAACATCAGGTTACTAGTACGGTGTTCACTAACTACACATTTCATGTTATTGTTGCTACATTCACTGATGATACATTTCATGTTATTGGTGTGATGCTTACTAACTAGACATTTGATATTATTATTGCTATTTTCATTGACTACATATTTCATGTTATTGTTGCTATGCTCACTGACTACATATTTCATGTTAATCGTGCTAGGTTCACTGACTACACATTTCATGTTATTGGTGTGATGCTTACTGACAAGACATTTGATATTATTATTGCTACTTCCATTGACTACACATTTCATGTTATTGTTTCTATGCTCATTGACTAGATATTTCATGTTAATCGTGCTATATTCATTGAATACACATTTCATATTATTCATGCTAAGTTCATTGATTAGACATTTCATGTTATTGTTGCTACGCTCACTGACTACACAATTCATGTTATTTTTGCTATGCTCACTGACTACACAATTCATGTTATTGTTGCTATGCTCACTGACTACACATTTCATGTTGTTTTTGTTAAGTTCATTGACTACACATTTCATGTTGTTGTTGCTATGTTCACTGACTACACATTTCATGTTATTCATGCTATCTCCACTGACTACACATTTCATGTTATTCGTGCTATGTTCACTGACTACACATTTCATGTTGTTTTTCCTATGTTCACTAACTACACATTTCATATTGTTGTTGCTATGTTCACTGACTACACATTTCATGTTATTGTTCCTATGTTCACTGACTACACATTTCATGTTATTGTTCCTATGTTCACTGAATACATATTTCATGTTATTGTTGCTTTGTTTACGGACTACACATTTCATGTTGTTTTTGCTATGTTCACTAACTACACAGTTCATGTTGTTGTTATGTTCATTGACTACACATTTCATGTTATTGTTCCTATGTTCACTGACTACATATTTCATGTTATTGTTGCTTTGTTTACGGACTACACATTTCATGTTGTTGTTGTTATATTCATTGACTACACATTTCATGTTACTGTTGCTATTTTCACTGACTAAACAGTCAAAGTTATTGGTGTTATGTCCGCTGACGACTCAGTACATGTTACAAGTGGTTTGTACGCTGAAAACATATTTGAAGTCATTGGTGTTGTGTGATTAAACAGTTCAAGCTGTTATGTTTGTGTTAATTTCTTATTCTTTGTGTTTGAAAACTGAATATGTTGCAGAATTTAATAATCACACGTCACATTTTACATGAATTTTACTTGTATGGTGAAATATCAGCCAACAAGATACTAGCCAGATTACTTGTATGGTGAAATAATAGCCAACAAGGTACTAACCAAATTACTTGTATGGTGAAATATCACCCAACAAGATACTAACCAGATTACTTGTATGGTGAAATGTCAGCCAACAAGGAACTAACCAGATTACTTGTATGGTGAAATGTCAGCCAACAAGGAACTAACCAGATTACTTGTGTGGTGAAATATTAGCCAACAAGGTACTAACCAGATTACTTGTATAGTGAAATGTTAGCCAACAAGATACTAACCAGGTTACTTGTATGGTGAAATATCATCCGACAAGATACTAACCAGATTACTTATATGGTGAAATATCACCCAACAAGATACTAACCAGATTACTTGTATGGTGAAATTTCAGCCAACAAGATACCAACCAGATTACTTGTATGGTAAAATGTCAGCCAACAAGGTACTAACCAGATTACTTGTATGGTGAAATATCAGCCAACAAAGTACTAACCAGATTACTTGTATGGTAAAATATCAGCCAACGAGATACTAACCAGATTTCTTGTATGGTGAAATATCATCCAACAAGATACTAACCAGATTACTTGTAGGGTGAAATATCAGCCAACAAGATACTGACCAGATTACTTGTATGGTGAAATGTCAGCCAACAAGATACTAACCAGATTACTTGTATGGTGAAATATCAGCCAACAAGGTACTAACCAGATTACTTATATGGTGAAATATCAGCCAACAAGGTACAACCAGATCATTTTCAAAACTCATTTAAAATGTTTTATTTTTTTAAAACATTAACAGCTACTATTTTAAACCTTTTCATGCCTGTTTGGAATTCCTACTAAACAACGAAACTGAATCATCAGTACAAAACTACATTTTCTAAAATGTATACAAATCATCAATTATTATCAGGCGAAGATATTGGTTTTATTTATATCACAGCTATTCAGGAGCTCTGACGATTCAGGAAATACTGAAAGTTTTCTTTTGTTTTGTTTTGTTAATTATAAATGTATATTTGTATGTGTCTATTGGCTTTAAAAAAACATGATTTTTATTTTTCAACAAACATTCAGTAAGATATTAGGCATCATACACGATTATTTTTATCATCGCATATTCAATACAAAATCCATCATACACTATTGTAAGATGCCATGGATCAGACCATACGTCTACTTCTTTGAAACATAGAGAATTATAGTTTGTTTAGTTATTGTGGTACACTATGAACTGTCATTTTTAGTGTTATAAGCCCTCAGACTTACCGCTGAGTCATTGGTGGGGGTTGGGGGGGTGGGAAGCAAGAAAGTTTGTTTCAACACAGCTTAATTTATCCGATATGCTCACGTTGTAACGCCCAATATCTATCCAAATATTTTTATAGAACCTGTGTAACAAAGAGAGTTGATTACATGCGGGTTAAATAGTATGTCTAAATTATGGTTCCGAGAAAAGTAAACAGACTCTGATACGAATGGAAAAGCTTTAGATAGATTTTTTTCTAAAGGGGATAAGATCATACAGATCGATACAAAAGTCTTTTTTAAGACACATATAAGGAGCCAATGATAATATGTGCTTTTTGGTGCAGTTTTGTGTCTACGTAAGCATGGTTTTACGGATTTTCAACACTAAAACCGGAAGTTCGATTTCTCTTGATGGACTTAGTGATAGCCTATTCTATAGCTTTGAGCTAGAACAAACAAACATTCGCCATGTGACGAGCGCTTACTAATATCCATAACTTCATTTATATAAATATCGAATCTTAAGTAATTGGAATATCTTTTAGCAGTTTTTTTTTATTATAAAAAAAGTAAACAGACTCATCATATTTCTTAAGTCGTTTGTGATAAATTTACACAATAAATATTCCATTGAGTGTAGACATACATTCATCTTTTGAAGCCACCACAAGACCAAGAAATTAAAGCCCTTGAAAATAGAAGTGCTATACACACTTCACATCAAATGATAATAATATATGAAATAGGTATTTCTATGTGTTTCTAATCCTAAATGGAGTTAAAGTGTCTGCTGGTCCGTTGCCTCACACTAAGCTTTTCTCTACTATCTCCACTTTATAACCGTGTGTTTTAGGCTTTTTAAAATACTAAGAGGTGGATTATATTTGTTTCGTAAATTGATTTAGTAAACAAATTACGACTTTTGAATTTAATTAAGTATTAAATTTAAACCTATAGGAATTTGTTTGAAAATTTTATGGCACTGGATACTATAATAAATATAATTAATAATTGTTTTTATTCGAATTAATTTCTTTTCGAGTTTATACGTTGTTAAATTATCATTGCAATACTCATAACCTCACATATACAGCCACTTCGTATCTTAATGTAATCTAATCGCCAAGAAACATCCGTGCCATATTCTCTAACCAGAGCATATGTATAGCTATACTTTTGAACACAATGGGAATGGTGTATCAAATGAGGTGAGAGGAAACGACATGGGCGCCCTCTCACTTCTTCCAAACACGAAGTTTGAAAAAATTTTTGCGTGGCGTTTTTGGTTTGGTAAAGCTGGAGAATTCGTCCAGACCTCGAGACTCCTCCCACTGGCTGGATGGTCTCTGTCAGCGATGGACAACATTCAGAAGATTCAGCAATGCTGACAGGTAATTGAACAAGTTTTTCAAAGTTGAAAGGATCCCATGCCCTGAGTTAAATAGAAAACAGAAAGTCCTATTAAAAACTATGTACATTAAACTCGGAAATAAACATCATATTACAAAATTATTTAGATAACGATTTGTAATACAAGAGGATTCATTCAGTGTGATCTCTCAGCTAAGCATATATGTAAATACATATGCTTCTCCGTGCTCAAATCTATCAAACAAATCACCTTTATAAAGCACAAGTTATGATCCTATCTGTAATACAAGTACCTCTGAAGAATACAAACAGGGGCTGCCGAAACGTTCAAGGTCCTTTATGTTGAAAAAGCTGTTTTAATACATGCTTTATACCCTTGTTTTTGTGCCTTAAGGCCCGGCATGGCCATGTGGTTAGAGTGCTCGACTCGCAATCTGTGGGTCGCGGGTTCAAATCCCCGTCACACCAAACATGCTCGCCCTTTCAGCTGTGGGGGCGTTATAATGTGACGGTCAATCACACTATTCGTTGGTAAAAGAGTAGCCCTAGGGTTGGTGGTGGGTGTTGATGACTAGCTGCCTTCCCTCTAGTCTTACACTGCTAAATTAGGGACGGCTAGCGCAGATAGCCCTCGTGTAGCTTCTCGCAAAATCCATAACAAACAAACAAACAAACAATTGTGCCATAGTTTTAGTTGAATATCTTGTTTTGTTTTCACCTATCACACAACTTGGGAAGATAATAATTACATCCTTAATAAGCTTTTAGAGTCGTCATAAACACAAGTTTATGGATAATACAAAATACTACCCAATATTTTCCTCGTTTTGTTTGTTCTCCAGGAGAGTGAAACGGACTTGACTATCGCGCATTTAAGAAATTTTCACTGTTCTGTAAGTGCATAAAACCCTTAAAAGTAAATCATTTCAAAATATGACACCAAAACAAATATATGCTGATTGCAAATCTTTTAACAACAACAAAAAAAAGTACATTCGGCAAATGTTTCCATTGGGATAAAAGGATGTGAATGAAGACACTTTTTTCAGTTAATGAAATATGTCTCTTTTAGCTTTCCCTTATCAACAAAAAGCAGATACATGATTTTTGTGTGAATAATAAAAACTAAGGTGTTTAACAGAAGTAAAACAGGTTTGATATGTGTGATACACTTATAAATAACTATAGTGTTTACATCATAAATAACTATAGTGTTTGTCAATGGGAGCATTTTCCATTGTTTCTCTTGCATTGGAAAGTCAATAATACTTTGAGAAAACATCTATTTGACCTTGGTGTCAAATAACGAAGTGTATACTAACCTTATATACTTGTGCTGAAATTCAACAGGCCTAACATGGCTGTGATTGGTGGATCTCCCACGGCTACAAGCAATCAGAAGGAAACACTGTATAAAAGAAAAACAAAGTTAAAAAGTTGTTAAACAAACTCTCTGGGTGCCCTAGGAAAGTACACGTGCCATGCAATGCAATCTAATATAAGTTTTCGTGGTAAATTTTCATTCAACTAGACCATGTAGTCCAGCTCAGATTAAGACCTGTCAGTAGGTACGTGGGTGTAAGGTACGAGGGAATGAAGTTTGACAGTAATATGATCTTGTCGTCAACCTCGTGCACTAATCTCATCCCTGTAATTTACACCTTCCCACATCGTGTTTGTCCTGTCTGCACAAATGAAAGCTAGTGAATTAAAAGCTATCACTCTAAAAATCAAAACCACTGTGACCTCCATTTATTCTTATCGCCAATATGCTTCTGTTTTACTAATGTTTATTTATTAACACGACACGCACGTGGTCATTTCTACTGTGAATTTTATTTAAAGACGCGTTTTAGATGAGAGAGTCGTGCGTTGCATACTAAAATACTTATTTCAGTCCTATAGAACTTGTTACATATTTTGTTCGTTTATGTAATAAACATTAAAAACTAGATGTATTTCCTCAAGGTCTCTGAAAGTGTTCTGTTTCAAGAGTAAATAAAACCAAAATTAAGAGTAGCAAATATTCTTATTTCTTGCTTTTCAAGTTCATATGTCACGTTCTGTTGTATGTAGCCTACAGAGTGAATAATTCTTCTCGTGATTCATGGCATGTGCACGTGTTATTGACGTCACAACAGTACATATTGCAACGTTAAGCGTCCCTTATGTGACGTCATTTTTAATATCTGACTGACTGACAGACAATGCACCAGTGTAATGTGGTGTGAGTGGTTAAACAGGTAACCCCTCCATGCGGCCTTC